TGGCACAAGCCTGTGATACCAGCTATTCAGGAGGCTGAGTCAGGAAGATGACAAATTCAAGGGCAAGCTCAGAAAGTTAGCAAGACCCTTATTCAAAATGTAAATAAATACACACATACATACATATATATATATATACAAAGGTCTGGGAAGTAGAGTAGTTTGGTAGTAGAATGCCTCTAGGTTCAATACCAGTAATACACACACACAAATACAAAGTGTTTTCTAGAACCGAAATGTGAAAAGCCAAGAATCAACCCATAAAAATAGCTACAGATAAAAAGTCTGGAGAGCAAAAGAGTCTATACCTGACTCAGCAAGTCAGGAGTCAGGAATCCTGGTTTCCACATATTAACTGTTCTCTGCCATAAAACCTATAAGCATCATATGCATGCTATGCTGCACTGGGATTAAGCAGCACATGCATTTTGGTTTCTCATGAAAAATTCTTGTTCTTCCAAACTATGGCTGTGTGTCCAAATGGCAGTTAATAAATCACACATATGTAAATTTCTTCAATACTAAGAGATGCATGACTATGCCAGTAGAACTGAAGTGTCAGTTATAATAGACAATTCAAACTATTAACTAGTGATTGGAGAACAACAGCTAGGTTAGGTAAGGAAAGAATACAGGTATGTCAGGAATTCAAATAATGTTTTAAATTAGTTGGTGAGAATCAATTGATACAATGTGAAAACACTTTTAAACTTGAATGTTTTATATGCAGATGCAAATTCTAGTAACATTTATCATCATAGATGCATGCATTCTTTTAAAGATATTAATGAACTTATAATCTTGAAAGATTTTTTTAAATACCATTAAATTATTTCAAGTCTTTTGTATATAAAATGAAGGTAGTACAATCTATGTCACTTCAAATGTAAGCACTAACTAGTGCTTTCAATTTTATAGATAAAAATCTTGAACAAATGTAAAAATATGTAACATACCTGAAGATAATTATATCTTTGGCTAAGTCTTATGATGGGAAGACTATTAAAATGGGTCAAAAATATTAAGCCATGTCTTATTAAAAGTTTCTAAACCATAATTTCAATATATAATATTTAATATTAACAAAAACTATTTAAAGATACACAACACACACAGAGACAGACACATCCTTGATGCCAACAATTCACCAGGATCACCAAAAATGAAAGGACATTTGCAATTATTTAAATTATAACTTTAAGATAAATTGCAAGCAGCAAATCTATTGTCAATAACAGCCAACTAGAAAACAGAAAATAAGAAAAAATGCTCAAATCAAACTTCAGACACAATCACAATTTCAAAACTCTCCACCATTACTTAAAATTCTGGAAAACTAATTTATTTTGAATGCCATATTCACAAAACTAAGTTCAATATGAACTTCCAAACATTTTATGTACAGACTCATTTTTTAAAGGTACTTCTGATCTAGATATGTCAATACATACCTACTGGTAACTTTAACAAAAAATTACCTTCCCTTTTATTCCAAATTAGGAGTAAAAAATGCATCAAATGAATTTTTTAAAAAGTGTGGGGGGGGTCCCCCCCTGGGAGAGGTAATAGTAAAAGTAGTAATTTAGTGTTGGAAGATGCAAAATTTATCCTTTCCTTAATATATTGTTTTCTGGATTAACCAAGCTAAGACTGCAATGAATTCAAAGTATATAGTATGAACAGACAGGCAGGGTTTTTGTTTTATATATGAAGTACATAAAGTTATACAATTCTGATCCAATGTTGATATCCCTGTTTACAATCTTTCACCACTTCATTATGAATTTTTATTCTTTCATTTTCATACCCAAGTATTCCTTAAGTTTGAAGTATTGCTATATAATTTAATGAGCCATATATATCAAAATTATGCTATTTATTAATACTGAGCCCTAAATTTCAATACAAAACATGTAGCTAAATCAAAGACCACACTCTATAAATTCATTGCTCTAATAACAGCACTTTTAAAAATATTTACCAAGAAAAAATAATCCATCTTTTGCACAATTAAGCCACTCAAATTTAGAGGTCAGATATGTACTAATTTTAATTCACAACTGATGAATCTAGCAATTAATAATGCACACACAGTTCTTAGCCACTGTACTTCTGTTCCTTCTGTTCAAATTCTCACTCAACCCTGCCCCTTATTTCTTTACAAAGAAATTCACAGGTAGAGAACAGATTTAAGACAGAATATCAAAAAGTAATATCCCTTGAAAATATGCATCTAAGTATGACAAAATATCTAAAAGCATGATATACAAATTACATGAAACACAAAAAGTATACATAATGTTCAAATAATAATAGCAAAATTATCTGTGTATATAAATTTTTAACAATGTATAAGGAGAGTAGGTGTGGTAAAGGACACATATAATTGTAGCTACTAGGGAAGTTGAGGTAGGAGTACTACAAGTTCCAGGTCAGCCTGGACAAACTGTCTCAAATGAAAAAAGGGCTAGAGATGTATCTCAGTGCTTTCCTAGCATGTATGAGGCCCCAGGTTCAATGCCTAGTACAGAAAAAACCAATGTATAAAGAAGGGCTCGTAGAGTAGCTCAAATGGTAGAACACTTGCTTAGCTTGTGCAAGGTCCTGGCAATCAATCCCTAACACAGGGAAAAAAAAGCATAAGGAAATATTAAAATAAAAAAGAATCAGTAAATAAAAAATACAAAATTTTAAAAAATCAAGGTTAAAGTATATCCTTTATAAATGGGTTAACAATCCACTTGAATCAAACTGGGAAATATGATATATTAAGAACTATGTAATGTTTTGAACGACCAACTATAAAAAAAATAAAAAAATAAATGGGTTAACAAGAATTCAAAATAATTGGTTAAAGATTAAGCCTCACTCATAATAAAAATAAGGTCATTTAAATCAACTAGGGTCCATTATCACCTATTAAAGCCACCAAAAGACTAAAAAATCATAATGAAAACTCACATTAAGTTGCTAGAGGTGGACATTAAAAATTAGTACAGTTACAGTCTTCTGTAGATTAATCTTATAATATATGACAAAAGCATTTTAAACTGATAAGCCCCTTGACCTGATAAATCCACTTTAAAGTCTAAGAAAATAACTCAAGGGAAGCAGGGTGCAGAAAAAAACACCTAGCCAGGAAAAAACATAAGTGAAAAAGTAGAAGCAACAAATGCTCAACTGGAAGATGGGATCAAAATATAACATCTTAAATACAACTGAATTTTCTCTTACCATTAAAAAATGATGACTATTTAATTACACAGGTTAAGTATGTGCAAAAAAATATAAAGCATAAAATATACAGAGAAATATAAAGCATGAAATGAACATTGGTTACAATTTTGTAAAACTTTGCCTTTACAATATAAACAAAAGGAAATATCTAGTAAGCTGACTTTTTTACTTAAATATCCCATCAAGTTAATTTTTAAAAAAATCTTTTTAAGTCTCCTTTTCCACTTGCTTAAAAAAGACTAACCTGTATACACATACAGACTGTAAGAGGCACAAAGGTAAAGAAAAACATTTTCAATATACTTCAACTTTAAAACTGTTTTTAAAGCAGTATTGGTAATTATATGTTAAAACATATATTAGTAGGCACTGTTGTTTTTGCCTTTTGATGGACAGGCAGAACTTAAGTCCAACAAAGAGCCTGACTATAAATAACCTGGTAATACATAGTTTTTCAAAAATAATCTTATACTGCTGAGAAATTATTACCATTAATAGTACAGATGTCTAGTTTACCCTTGTAAGGATTCTTATATCACCTTTGGTAATTTGCAAAATAAAAAAAAATGTTTAATGAGTAGATTGTATAATAATTAATAACATGAACTCACTTGCAAAACAATACAAAGAAATATCAAAATAAACAAGTAATTTAATATTGTTCTATTAAAAGCATATTTTAAACCATCTTGTTTATATTTAATGCTCCAACTTTCTTTAACTTTGCCTGATTTTCCTCATTTGGATCTTATTTGATGGAAAGATAGCTGAATTTAGATTTCAGTAACAGCACCCCTTTCGTTTCATTACCTTACAATTCACTATGCCTATGATTAATACAGAAATCCTCTCCAAAATAAAAAGGACCATGTTTTTGTGTCAATGCTGAGCAGAAGATACATTTACAGTAGGTACTGTATTTGTAGGAGATACAACAGTCAATTCAATGCCTTTGGTCCTTTAATAGAGTATATTTTTAAATGTGCCCATTGTTATCTCCTTGTAATCCCCAAATCATATTTCACCAATTCTCCAAAAGGTCATAATCCACAGTTTTTATTTCGTGAAAATGCATCTGTATAAATGTGATTTACTGAAGATTTAATGAGCTATTTTCTATGATCTGAGATATACAACGATATGCTTTTTATTCGGTAGCCTATTATCTAAAACCGGCAAATTTTGGAATCACTCGATGTTCCTTATTATTTTTAATTGTGTCGTTTCTCCTAGTCCGGGGTCCGTCAACTCCCCTTCTGAGCCCCTTCTCCCCCCTCAAAAAAAAAAAAAAAAAAAAAAAAAAAAAAAAAGACCAAGCCTGGCCTCAGTTCCCGTATTTCAAGCCAGGACCAACCAGAAACCAGTTTTCTTCCACTAATCCGGAACTCCGGGCTGTTACCAACGCTGTCATTGGCTAGCGTCAGTCCTTGGTACGTGCCCCAAGATAACCCCCTGGTTTCTCTCCCTTTTCCCCCTACAATGGGCCTTCCCTGATGTTTGTAACATTCATAATCCACAACAGGGCATCTCTAATAATCAACTCACATTCTTCAAAGTTTTGGGGTAGAAACAAGCGAAGCTGAAGGGAAGGCTAGGTACCCTTTTCTCCGACTCGCGGGGGAGGGGGAAGGGGCAGTCGTCCTTAGGCTAGGCAACAAGCTCTGGAGCGCCGTAGGATGAGGGGTCAGGGGAGGGTTGGGGGTACAAGGTGGGGAGGGAGTGGAGAAAGAGTTGGATTAAGTTGAAATGAAAACTTTACTCACCAGATCCTCGAAGCTTCTTCGGTGCTCTTTCCCCTCCCAGTCTAAGCGGCGCGGAATCAGCTGGGGGCCGGAGGAAAAGAAAGGGGGAGGGGGGGCAAACGATGAAGGCGAAGCCTCCACTCCCCATCAATTGGACCCAGGTCCACGACCCTTGGTGTCTTTATTTCTCTTGTCCCAGTAGCTACTACCTCAAAGGTAGACGGGTGTGTGTGTGGAGGGGTGGGGGGAAGGCCGAGGGGTGGTATATCCTGTAAAACCGACTCCCAAAGACATAAAGAGGGGGCGAGTTAAGACCCCAGCATCGGCCACCCCCTTTGAGAGAAGAACCCGGTTCACCCTTGTGATAACAGCTATGGGTGCCCATATAGAAGCCTCCCTGCTGGCGCCTGCCCTCCGCCTAGGACTTGCCCTCCCCTTCCTACAGTCTCACCCCAACCCTCCCCACCCCTTCCCGAAGGGGCTCCTTACCTGATGCTCCTCGAGCTCCTGCACTAGCACCTGAGCAAAAGGGAAACACGGATATGAGGAGCAGCTCAAATCACCAACCCATTCCTCCTTTTCCACTTAAAACCCAGCCACTGACGGTAGGACTAGTCAAGGCCGGCCTTTCCCTCACCCTCAACGCAACTGCTCTCACCCCGCTGCCTCAATTTCCCCCACAAGAACCTTTCCCCACGACTCCCGGATCATCTTCTCCCTCTCACCTGAGCGGATTTGTTGCAGGGTCCGGACTGCAAGAACCTAGCGATCAGGTAATACAGCTCTGAGGAAGAGGGGGGGGAAAAGAGGTTGAGAGGAAGGTAAAGAAGAGAAATAGAAGCTTTTTCAAAAGAAACTGACAGCCATCGCGCTAAGCCCCCATCCCCTTAGCCTCTGGACACAGCTACCCACCGGCTTCGATCTGAGTAGGTGCCGCCGCCATCCTTTTCCCGAGGGGGTTTGGGGGGCTCGCTTCGGAGGGGTTGGCGGGGGCGGGTGGGGGCGCTGCCTCTATTGTGGTGAAGCCCCCATGCCCGGGAGTCCCGCCGCTTCCGCCGCACTCCTCGTCCCAGTTTCGGTCTCTCTCGAATTCATCGCATCACGTTTCGACCCATAGATATTCTAGCCCAAGAGCTGAGGAGGCGGAGGAGGAAGGAGAGGGAGAGAGAAGAGGAGGGAGGAGCCGAAGTCGCGGAGGGGTGGGCGGGGGCAAAGGGGGTGGAGAGAGGGGAGGGTAAAAACGTTGAAACAAGCCTGCAGCACTCGCTGGTCGCCGCCAGAGGCACTAACGCAAACGCCTGACTTTAGCTCTTCCAGAGGACTGAGGGTTGCCTAGCTACCGGGCTCTAGAAAGAAGGAGGTGCTAACTGACAACCGACGCTCTGGCAACCTCCGTAGAACTCTGTGGTGGCGTTGGCGTCCGCGAGCTCTGGACTCGCTTGCCATTCCTGTGAGGGCAGTTGGGCCCTTTCCGGCAGAGAATTCTTCCTGCTTTGGTGGTGAAGAACTTGTGGGGGGCTGCCTAGACTCAGTTGCCTTCATGGGGCACCTAAGCGGTTTTGTTTTTCTCCCTCCCTCACCAACAGGAGGCTAGCCCATAAGGGGCATTATGATTGAGAGAAGAAAACATGATTTTTGTGCCATTTGAAAATGCTGTACTTATCGGTCCCCAGTGTGGTGCTAAAATTGTTACAAGACTACTTAAAATGTCCCCCGATTCTGAAAAAGATTGCTTGAGAAATTTTCTGTCAGCCATGAAGCATTTTACCCCTTCTGAAAGTTTAACATAAGCTATATCTGTCCCATTCCTATTGGATAGTTTTTATCGTGTTTTCAAACATTATCCGACTACTTAAGGATTTTTTAAGTATGGCCTGGTTATGGAAATCTGTATATTCAAGGTAGTTTTCCACAGATTTGGGACTGCATTTGTTATTTAATATGTAACCCCCACTCTTAGTACACACTGTCTTTTGATCAAAGTGTTTGTGTAATAATTGACACAGACAGTAAACTAGGTCTCTCTGTTCCTACTTACATCCTGTTCCCACCCCACCTTTAACTAATATAATTAATAAAAGCTGAACCCGATGAGGCTAGAAATGTTGTTGGAGTTGTGTATATTATGTTGAAATATCCAAATTTGAAATTTCACCTAAATTTAGGGTGTTATTAGGAATTTGATTTCCTCACTTATAATTCAGGCATTGACCACAGTGGGTCTAGAATTCCATTAAATTGACATGAACTTTATCCAAATTGACTAGCTTGCTCCTGTAAGTGCCCTCTCTCTCTCCCCTCCCTCTCCCCAGCACCCTCCCTCTCCCCCCATCCACCCGCCATTTTTTTCCTCAGCAATAAATATATGGTAATTTTAAATTGATGGATTTATCTTTGCTTTGCTATGGTACTTGACAAAACAAACACCATTAACAAAAAATTAGATAATGAAAAGATATAAGACCTAGACAAATCGTTACAAGTGATTTAGCAAAATACCTGAGTGAATAATTTTATCATTCAAGTATAATATTTTATCAAACCGCTACAATGTACTCAGTACTTTACATTCTTTTACCTCATTTAATCTTTACAGTGACCCTAGGAGTAAGTTAGAAAATTATTATACAGATAATAAAAAATGACTTTATGACTTTGGACCCCTAACATTCTGTGAACCTTATTCCTCACCTGTAAAGTGTGAGTAATGAATAGTATTTTCCATGCTTCACAAGAATTTTTGTAAAACTCATGTGAGAATATGTTTATGTTCAATTTCAAAATTTATGTGGCACTGTTGTTTCAACAATTCTGTATAAGTAGAGAAAAGAGAGAAAAAGCATAAAATAATTAGAACAGAAATTTAAGGTGAAGAATAATAACAGAAGATTGGAGTAAGGAGGTATTATCTAGTAAGGACTAAAAAGAACTCCAGAGAATATAGACTACAAGATATATAGTAGACATAGGAGATAAAATGGATATAGCCAGTACCACCTAGAACTTATATAGAACACACTCCACCCCAGCTCTACAACCAGAGCTAAGCTTCAGATTTTATTGAAGTTGCAGCTGACAGGCTTGCTCACCCAATGGCAGGAAAAATGCTGCGATGCCTTGCAGGCAGAAATTGCTAACACTCCAAACTCTGAAAATTACTGAAATTTGTCCCACTGGAACTTGCTAGAAACTCATCCTCTAGAATCAATCTTCTAGGGCTCCTGAGAAAGACATTCACAGGGAAGTCTCACCAGAGGCACTTTACTACAAAACCAACCAGAGAGAGGATACCAGGGGAAGTTGCTTGTTCCTGCTGAAACTGCATCACAGAAGCCAGACAAAAAAAAAAGAGGTTGTACATCTTTAAGGAGCAGACTATCCACTGAGCACAGAAGCAGAAAGCAAAATCTCCTGCACTATCTTTCCAGCATCTTTTACTGATAAAGTGTTGATGCCAGATAACAAAAGAAAAAAAATATTTAAATGACCCAGATGCTTTATCACAGAGAAGTCAGGGTGAATTTGGAGATGATAAGCATCTAGTTGATGAAAATGGCACAAATTATATGCTGTTCTCTTGGCTGTAATGAAAAACATAAAGAAGTTATTGGAATGTGTATGTTCACTGAAAATGCATTTGTCTATTGTTCAGAATTAATGCTAATTAATTGGAGCTAATACTTTAAAGATTTTATAACATTTTGAATCAATAGTTTTAACTGTGGGACCAAAGTTTTAATTGGGAAGAGAGTGAAAACTTCATAAAACTATAGCCAAAACATGGATTTACAAAGAAAATATTCTAGAATGTTTACTAGGTAGGTGTATTAATTTCCTAGGGCTGCCATAAATCATTATGAACTGGATGGCTTCTAACAACAGAAATTTGTTCTCCCACAGTTGTGGAGGCCCAAAATCCAAAATAAGAGCCATGCTACCTCTGAAAGCTCTCAATGATAATCCATCTTTGACTCTTCCAGCTTCTGGTGACTCCTAGCAGTTGGCAGTTTTTATTGTTTCCTAATTTCAGCTTCTTTAAGAAAACTAAATTGTATAGAATAATTTAAAAACGCATACATTGTAATGTTAATATTTTAAACATACTTCTTAGGTTTAAAATGCTTAACAATAATAGGAAAAGGGGGACAAGGGAGTAGGACTGTTTAAAAGTAACATTTGTATAACTCATAAGAACTAAGTTAATGTGAGAGTAAAGTATATTCTGATAAGCTAATAGTTATATAGTATGCACAAAAGCAACTACTAAAAAAAGCCCAGAAAATATAGTGAAACTATCATTTTAAGTTGCACTGCAAGATACTTAATGCAAAAGAAAGCAAGAAAGGAGAAATAGAACAAAAATACATGAGATATATAGAAAACAGAATTGAAATGGGAAATGTAAACTCATCTACATTAATAGTAACATTACATGTGAGTGGAAACATACCACTTCCACCTGACAGCATGAGTTTTGTGGACAAGCTCGCAAATGAAATTGATGAAAATGAAAATACAAACAACCATCTAAATTCTCTGGAAATTGTCCTAATGACATAAAGCAAATGAAAAAAAAATCATTCAAGAAAATGTAAAACTCTTAAGAACTGATAAAGTCTGTGGTACTTGAACCAAGACTCAATCTGTCCCAAGCCTGCTCTCCCAAGCCCAGTGTAAAGGGAAATTTGGCTCCCAACCAAAATAGGCAAGAATGGAGGACACCTAATTCCCTGGTGGAGGGTAACTCCCTTCCTGGAAGGGGCAGGGCAATAGCATTTCTAATGTTTCCCCTGATTCCTTGTTATTGAGGCTAAATGCTTCTCCAGTGTAGACACTAGGTGGTGGTTACCTTCTACTCAGCTGTATACATGGCACAAAACTACATGTTGGATGTGGTGCCACCGAGTATAGTGGAGCCTCAAATGCCAGGGACTTTAATTGAAGAGCAATAGTTATGATAAAGAGAAGCAAGCCAAATGACCTAGGGCTACTTCCCACTTCCTTTTGCAAACAGGCATTTTTTAAAGTAGGAATATCAAAGAGAAATCAGCTGTGTCCCAGCCCATGTTACCAGATTTGTGCCTCAGAGATTTTGCTCTAGGGAAAATGCAGACCTTAGAAGAGCAAGCTCCAAATTTGTGCTCAAAGGAAATGACTTTATTTGCAACCCAGTGTGGAGAAATTCAAGCCTATGAATGCTTTAGAAAACAAAGATGGTTGTGATAAAAGGCAGCTGGGAGGAAATTGATTGATTCATTGGAGTCTTAGGCTAAACTGTAGGCCAGCTAATTTGCTAGAAACAGAGGAAAAGGACACCTGGGAAGAGCCCTCCAGGAGCCAGACCAAATCTCAAAACATTGACCTAGAGAAATATCCTTTCAAAGGAACCCAAATTTGACTGGCTCTGTCTGAAGCAATTTATCCCCCAGGGCATTGTTGGAGACAATAGGGCAATCAATCAGCAGACAACTAGTGGTAGTGGGGTTTAAGAGCTGAAAATGGTCAGAGGAAAAAATCCCCCAAAACAAAGAGAGCCCTGACACAAACCAGTATAGTTCTAGGATGATTATGTGCATACTCAAGACTGCACCCACTGAGGAGCAACATCAGTGGCTTTACACAATGAATTAGCAAGCATATAACAATAAAAAGACCAGGAGTAACTGGAACTAGTACTTAGGGCTGCTACAATATATTTTCTAAAGTACCCAGTTTCCAATAAAAAATTATGAGACATGACAAGAAACAGGGAAGTATAAACCATATGCTAGAAACAAGCAAGGAGCAGAAACTGCCTGTGAAAATGAGCACATCAGATTTAATTAATTAAGTCTTCAAAGTAGCCATTATAAATGTGTTCCAAGAAATAAAGAAGACTGATTAAATAAAATAAAGGTGATAACAACTTCCACTAAAAAATGAATATAAAAAAAGGTAAAGGAAGGTGGGCGTAGAATCCCATCAGCTGGGGAGGCTGAGACAATCATGAGTTCAAAGCCAGCCTCAGCAAAAACGAAGTGCTAGTGCTAAGCAACTCAGTGATACTCCGTTTTAAAATAAAATACAAAATAGGGCTGAGGATGTGGCTCAGTGGCCAAGTTCCCCTGAGTTCAATCCCCAGTACCAAAAAAATATAAAAATATAAATAAAAAATGGAAAGGCAGGAGCCGTGGCACAC